CAGGCAGGCAGGCAATTCAGAGCACTGTGAGCGGAGCGTCCTGGCGGGCTGCCGCGCGCAAAGGCCAAGTGGCCACGCTTCCAGCGCTGTCAGGCTGGAGGCTCCTGCCCTCGTCTCCTCCTCCGTCCTGGCCTGACCGCTGCGTGGAGGGCTCCCGTCCGTCCTGCGAGGCCCCCCGGACACCCTTCTTGGCTCGCCGGCGGCTTCCTTGGCGCCCCCGCCCGTGTTGGCGCTGCCAGCCTTGCAGTGCAGCCTCTTGGTCCCCTTCCGTCTGCTACACCTTTTTATCCCAGCCTTCGACTGTCCTCCCTTCCTGATCCTGACTGTGTCCTCACAATGCCCCTGTGAGGTAGGCCCGGCTGGGAGTGTGCAGGTGGCCTAGAGGCACGGCAGAGCGGGGACTCGAACCCGGGCCTCCAGCCTTTCCACCATTGGCGCTGCCCCCAGCCTTTCCTGCTCCTCTCTCTTCTGGCTGCTGCGGGGGGGGGGGTTTGGTGTTCTGTGCACTGGTCTCCTTGGTGTAGGTGCCACGGCCACACAGTGCTGCATTTTTGCACCTGCCCGTGGACGGGGTCAGTGGCATTTGAGTGTGTGGCGTTTCAGAATCTGCAGGGTGAGCCCCGGTTTCCCTGGCACAACTTTCTTGCGAGGTTTGAGAGCTGGCCACCGCCCGAGATGCGTGGGGGGCTCCCTGAAGCTGATTCTCTTCTCCTGGCATTTGGGCTTTGCCCTCCCGCCCCTGCCAGGGAGGGAAGGCGCCTGCGAGCATTTTCCTTCCCAGAAGGGCTCTGAGCTGCTCTGTGCCAGGGCCCTCCTCCCGGCGTGGGCGACTGTCCGGTTGGAGATCTTGGTGCTGCTGGCAGAGGGTTCCTCCCAGCATGTTTGGGGAAAAATTCCTTCCCAGAAGGGCTCTGAGCTGCTCTGTGCCAGGGCCCTCCTCCCAGTGTGGGCGACTGTCCGGTTGGAGATCTTGGTGCTGCTGGCAGAGGGTTCCTCCCAGCATGTTTGGGGAAAGAATCCCTTTTTGGAGGGTGGCATGGTGGGGTGGGG